AACCAAGAGAGAACAAACAAGTAATGTTGACGCCGCCTCACATGCGAGGAATATCGCATGGATCGTATGGAGGCAAGCTTGCGGCAGACCCGGCAAAAGTTCAGCCGGTAACAAGGTTAGTTCTTCAAGCGTGTCGGTGTTGCAGGTTGGTGCGAGTCTGTGCCCCAAGGCGCGGTGTCGGCCACCTTGCGCTTCTGACAAAACCTTTCATGTTGCACCTGCTGTTAAGCCGCGCATAGAATAAAACCTTTCATCCAAGGTTAAAGTGGTTGTGGCCAATGCTTCTGAAAATGTTGCATTTTGCAAGGATGCGCAGGGAAATTTTGAGGAGAGCTTCGACTTTGTTTGCGGTCCGCTTTCGTAACGTGACGCAGCAGCGGTTGAGTGCCCGCATCAGCACGCTTAAATTAAGGGATGGGATAGATGCCATGGCCGAACCCACCTACATTCCTAGTTCAGGATCTTGTTGGGATGCTGGCTGAGGCCTGGGCAACCGTTGGCACCATACACTGCCGAGGTACATCTCGCAAATTCAGCATGCTGGTCAGATCTGGAGGAATGGGCCGGAAGAAGCTTCCAAGCTTTCATCGCGCAGTCTCCGCAGGTTCCTTCCACTGCCACAGCTGCTCTCCAACTTGCGCCGCGTGCATGCAAGCCACAGACAATTTGGACTGAAATGCGCTGAGTGATGCTCGGTCTTCGCGTGCTGATGCGCAGTCTTCGTGCCCTGGTGTGATGGCCCAGCATTATGCGGGCAAGTGGCATCAACAGCGCGCATTGAGCTGTCCGTTTTGGCTTCACTTCACCAGGCTGCGCTTCAATCTTCCCAACCAAAACAGCGTTCTCGACGCGACGTGCGATTGCGCGCGCCGGTCGGAGCAGCCATTTTTCGGCCCACTTCATCCATCAGTGTATAGCAGTGTATTGTATGTCCAAGTTAGGCTTCTGCGCAGGGCTCCCACAAGATGAGCCGCGCAACCCTAGTGCAAATTCGTCATCGTCCAATGCCTGTGTCTCGATCCATGGGATGGTTGGATGTGGGCTGCAGAGGAGCTCCAGGATGCCAGTTGCGTGGAGAGAAGCATTTGGCCAGCCGTAGACGAGATACGCGGCCAGACGTTTTTTGAATTTGCACATGCTGAGGGATCGGACTGCAGTCCTTCAGGCACCTTGTGTAGATGTCAAAAGTTTTCGCTTTACGTCGCGGATTTATTTGGTTTCCCTTTGCAGTTGCCATGGCAGGATCGATGTCCACTGCTTATGTGGCCAGCCTAGAGGCTATGCGCAGGTTGCTGTAGAGAATCCTCACAATGAGCTTGACCAGGCTTTCCAGTGATTCCGGAGTCAAGGCTTTCAGTTATTGACCTTTATGATGCGGCTGTGCTTCCGCGGTGGCGTCCCGTGCCAGGAATGTTGGCGTGGCACATGCAAGCGGGATGAAGTGAGGCATACTCACCACAAAAATGCAAAGTGCCTACGGCTGTGAAGCCGGAGCTAGGCCGTGCGAGGTCGACGGACAGATCTTGAAGTTCGGTGAGTCTTTTTTGCAACGCGCTTGACCTGTGATGCTTGTGTACTTGCTGCGCATTCAAGCCGTCAAACTTGTTTCCCATCGATGCGTGGTTCTCGTTAGGTTTACTTGGCGCCAGCTTATGTTTCAGTGTAGTGGGTTGGGATTTCGCAAATGCCTTGAGGACAACAGCTTGGCGACTGAGTTCATAGTTTGCAGGGTGGTGGCCTTTGGGTGAAGCTTACCAAAAAAAGGATCGTATGTGGTTAGAACCTCCCAGAATGAAGAGTGTACGTAGTGTTGACAAGGACACAGCGGTGAATAGGGTCCCAAACCATGTCTTAAACACCTTGTAGGAGCTGGCCGCGCAAATTGCGCATGTTGAGGCTCTGGCAATTTCACATGTTCTTGTCCACCAGCGAGAGCTTTGCAACAGGGATGTGCGCCTTTTGAGGGTTGACCTTAATCAACTAGGCATTCATGATTGCCATCAAAAACCAAGTTGCGCGCAAACTTCTGCACGGCTCACATTTGTTTGCACCATGCTCATCTAACATCTGTCTCAAGATGCCTGCTGCTGCCTTGTCTGGCTGGTGCACTCTATGCTTCCGCCCAATCATCCTCCTGTTCACATGCATGGGTCGCGCGACAATGCTGTCGCCGAATCCGCCTCATGGAAGGGTCTTTCCACTGCGAAAAGTGTTTGCCACCTGTTGCGCTGTTCTCTGCACTTTCAGGGAGACGGTCGGGTGTCTGCCCATAGTAATCACATTCCTGGCATTCTGAACGACCTGGCTGATAAGCTCAGTCGCTCTTCTGACCCTGCGCTTTAGAGTTTCCCCCGACCAGCTTCGTTCTCCGCCTTGGTCTGCCTTGCCTGCCCTACCTGTCATCCAGGTTTACCCGCCTGGCTTGAATATTCGTTCCCTGTTTGGTGCACTGTCCTGAGTGGAGTTTTGGCTGCATCTTTTCCCTGCGGGTCAAACCATTGCATGGTTCGAGTTGCATGTTGGCCGTTGATGCAGCCAGTGTCTTTGCCCGTACTTCTATGCGGTTTCTGTTTGTACCTTTCTGGGTCAGACTGGGCCTGTGACTGCACACTGCACACTGTCACTGCCCCTGCTTTGTGCCACTGGACGTAATGTTTCACGGAAACGAGGGCTCTGCCGCTGTGCACTGTTTTCCTGTTTTTGTCACCAACACTACTCCGACGTACGGACTAGTTAAGCTGCCAAATTGGAAACATACGGGAATGCCAATTCATTGGAAATTGCGCATATGCACTGCAGAGTATTCGTACTGTTGATCGTCTACGGCATGGAATCAGCTGCCCTCAACCAACCAGGTCTCCACGGGATACAAGCATTCCACTCATAGAGCCTCCGCAAAATGCACAAAGTCCCTGCCACCTTTTACACCAAAGTGCTCGCACCGGACCAACCTACCTCGTCCAACCAGCAGTTATGACACCAATCTTCACCCCTCACATGCCACATCCGCAGAGCACAGTTGAAGTTGCCTGGTCATGTTTTTCAGAGCACCGGAGACTTGCTTGGGAAGGAACTGTTGCTGCACGAAATCTTTTCTTTATACGGGCGGCATGGCGGGGTCGGGACTTAGGAGGGGACGGCCCAGAACACACTGGACAGAACAGTGCGCCAACAGGCATGGCACTGGTTACAGGATTTCCCTAACCCGCCATCACAGAGATACCCGCAGTTCCCTATTGCATCTGTTAAGCTTCAAAGGTTGCCTGTCCGTTGTTCGTTTTGATTTTGGAGTCGGCTAGTGGGGCTGCCTAGGTGCAAGAAGCACGTCAAGCAAACCTGCTACATTGCGTTCCCAGTGAACACACAGTAAGTTCACAGCAAGTTCACAATTAGGCTTTTTGTGTAGATGCATACGGTTGCACAAAAATCTCAATAGATCTAAGTCGAGAAGCCTTCCGGTAAGGTGTTTTGTAGACAGCTTCGCGAAGTCATCGCCAATTTAGAAAGCGCCGTGAAGACTTGCTGGATTGGAAATATTTGCTGGAAGAAGACGCCGCGTTTAGCCAGTACCTGAGTTACAATTGCCTTGTTGACGCCTCTTCTGGGCCCGCCGACGGTTAACGTTTGACAGTTTTTCGGGGTTGTCTGAAGGTCCTGTGCCGGTACAGCTGCAAATGTGCTGTCTGGCAGCTGTCTGCATGCATGCTGGACCAACAAGCTCACTTGGGTGGGAAACATTGGTGGGATGTATGGAGACTGTGCTCTCGCCACGTACCCGAAACCTCAAGTGTGCATTGTCAATCAGATATGTCGCTGCCGAGCCCCAAGTTTGCAACAGAGTCAACGGTCCTTTCTTGGAGTCGAGAAGGCAGAAATTCACATTCGGTAGACGGATCGACTGATAAGGCAAGAACTTTCAAGGAGACCCGCCAAAGCAAAATCTGGAAGAGAGATACGGTGGGACACAAAGCAACGGCCAAAAAAATCAGGTTTCAAAGTTGAATAGGTGTTTCTGTAACCAATAAGTTTGTCTTTTTGCCTAAGGTCGTGGTTGAGGAGATTTTTGGCCCGGAGGACAGTCTTCATGCGGTATCCAAGAGCAAATCACCATTGCTGCTGATGCCAGCTGTTAATCATGACAGCAGTCATCAGCAGTGAATGACTCCAGGGCTAGTGCTGAACTGTGACACACTGTTACCACAAGTATGGCCATCCCTTTGCAGAGAACACAGGAAATGCCCATCAAGTACAGTTATTGCTTCACTGCTGCATCGGTGGGGTCCCTGCTGCTGAGTGATCTGATCCTCGGCTGCCTCTATCACCCATTCACCCTAATCGGCGCACTTGCCCTAGAATGTTTATTCGTAGGCTCGCGGGCTGGCTTTACGATGCGGCCGCGGAGCATCAAGGCAAGTCTTGCGCCTGCTTGCAGCTTTGTGGCTGTTCTGTTCTGTTCTGTTCTGTTTTGCGTTCTGCTTGGTGTACCTTGGTCTTGGACAACTCTCAGCTTCGTTTCCATGGGCTGTGTGGCACCAAAAGGGTTTCTGAGGTCAGTCTGTATGCCTTGGCACGAGCTGCTTTGGTGTGCCTTCACAGCAAGACCCTTCACGGAGTCCCCTGTGCGAATGTCTGTGTCTTCGCACGCCATAGACTCTGCTGCGTCAGCATTGAACAAATGCCGTCGTGTCCACCTGTGACGACGCCAGTTGAGGTCACGTTTGCGGTTACCGCACTGGGCTGTGCGGCAGCAGCTTTATCTGTTGCAGCCGTGGCCATCCGTTCCAGAGGAACGCAATCTGTCGAATCTAGAAGTTGAACTCTAGAAGAAGCGGGATCAGGCATTTTGTCCCAGGGTGTCATGACATGTCATGACTCAGGTATGTTCAGCTCCGGGAGAGGCGACCTCTCCTAATGGCAACTGAGGCCGCACTTCTTTGATGCCGGCAGGCTGCTACTCGTAGCACTTCGCCGGAGTTGCCTTTCACAACCTCCTTGATAATATAGGATCCTGGCTTGAGGTCATATTCCATCGTTCATAGATTCATAGATGCTGCAGACCAACACAATCCGACTATCCTGCACCGTGTTGGTCCTATTTGCTCCAAGACACATCGCAGCAGCTTCCGTGCCATCCTCCAGCTTTTGTTCAGCCATCGATTTGCTGTTGTCACATGAAAAAGCTCTTCGTGCCAGCCAAACTCCTGGGAACGACAAGTGCATCTTGTGTCTTCGACCAGATGAGCTGTATTCATGCAGTGCAAAACCCTGCTGACGCACAGCTACGGCTTCTTCATCAGCTACAGATGCACTAGTCTGATGCGCCGCCAACCTCAAAACAGCTGTAGCATTGTTAGGAGCACGACATGCAGCTCATGAAAATGAAGTGGTAAGGTTACATGATCTATTTAAAGCGACAATATGGCAGCAGGGAACCTGCATGCCGAATTTCCGAAGCGACATCTGAAGTGCACATCTTACACCCATGAAGCCTCTGTCGGCGTAAAGTACGTCTATGCCCAGTGCCCAGGCTAAATATAGCAAGCCACGGTAAGCGAGGCCTTAGGTGCTGCAAAAGCGGCTGCGAGAGGAGTAGCAAGGCCAGCTTTGCGAAGTAGTTGTTTTTAGGGTTCTCGTGAGAGGGCTTTTGAACACTCGTTGTATGGAAAGGCACTGCGTGCCCTGGAAGACTCCAGAAGCTAGAATCTTTCTTCAGCAGCATGTGATGCCTGAAGGCCTATGCAATGTGTCCTGTGGGGACGCAGGCAGGATGGGCAGCAAATGGCAACGAGGTTTGGGGCCTTTTTTGTTTGTTTGCAGGCATGGCCTTCCTTGATGCGCCGAAGAACTTTCAGCCTCCGAATGCCCGGGAGCGCCGTGAGGCCTCAAGTGCCATGGCATGCCATGGCTGTCCGAGCTTTTGAGATAATCTTGAGCTGCAGGAGCCGCTCCATGGTAGCCTGCTGAGGAGCTTGACGGTGGATTTGATAGTCCCTTCTGGCCTGTTGGATCATATCTGCACTTTGCAGAAGCATTTGATGCCAGACCACCTACCAGCAGTGCTGTGCTGACTTTGTGTACAGTGACACCACAGCGCCGAGACGAGTCCTCACAAAGCTCTCAAAAGGCCAGGGAGTGGCCAACGTGGGAGTGGTGAAGGTGGGTCTGGGAAGGTATGTGAAGGTAGCGCAGAGCTTGGTAAGGTGGGAGCGTGAGCTGTTCTAGCACAACCTGTCGTTCCTAATCATATGCTGAGCTCGCAGAGGCGTGTACAACGGAAACTTTGACAATGCAGAGCACGATTACATTTGCCGAGCGAACGGGATGCAATGGCAGTTGAGAGCAGTGAGTGATGTGACTCTTCCTAAGCAAGCTGGCCACAACAAGGTCGGTGACAAGATCGTAAACCCTGACGGCCACGCATACGAGATCCTTGAGCGGCTAGGACATGGTACGTTCGGCCAGGTGCATGTGGAATTTAAAGGCATGTGATGCATGAGAAGGGAGTCCTTGCCTGCTGCAGGTCTTGAAGATACATCATTCCACTTCGAACAGCCATGTTGAACCGCCCTCAGACGACAGACATGAATGAAGGTAGACCTGCATCAGCCGACTTTCAAGTTTTCTTTTATGGCCGAGATCCGGTTAGTGAATTTACTGTGCACTCTTTGAGGCTCTAAAGATCATTAAGAACAAGCCAGCCTACTTCCATCAGGCCGCTGCTTTGCCCGGACATGCGCAATTCTTCGATGGCCCCCCTCTACTTAATTGAGTAGCAATATTTCCAAATGGGAAACTGTATAGTTCGACCCATGTTGGTGTAGTGTCTAGAAGAATGGTACTTTTTCAACAAGTCGTCTCACTTGGTTCAATCACCAAAAAACAATCCTCGCTTCTGATGAGATGCTAAGTCTGCGCCCAACAATGGCAAGACTCAAGTGAGCTTGCGCAAAGTCTGTTGTGAATGATGCGTGCGCAGCCGTTTACATGTTTGCGCAGTCATTGTCTTCAGGCGTTGGTGGAGGTGCGCATCTTGCAAATGCTGAATCAGGACAACTTTATGATATGAGCTTGCACAGAAACCCGAGCCATGATTTGTACAGAACTGACATGAGCTGACACAATTTATCGGCATGTGCCAGATCATGTTAAAATGATAGGAGGAAAGCAACGATAGCGTGGCTTCTCATGCTATTGGATAGGAAAACGATCACAGTAAAAAGGGGGATAACATTTTGACTTGGATAGAAGACTGGCCTCTAGGTT